CGAAGTCTTTCAGAATCAAAAGACCATTTTGGTCGCTCGAAATATTTATATATAAATATACGCAATTTAGAGATGGTCCTACAATAATTAATCATTAGCTTAAGTTAGAATTCTCATTCGGGATGATAGGCTCCACTTAATTACTCAACTCAGCACAAAAACTTGCAGAAATAAACAGTTCAGTATGTCCGGACAGACAAAAGATTTATCAATAACAAGAAAACACTTGGTTTATTACTGATCAATAAAATATAAGAAAAGAGATTATACGATAAATAAAGTTTAGTTAATCATGAGTTATACACTTATGTTATACTAATTGCACTCTTGGCATTCCACTATTTACAGTGTTTGCAAATAGAATCTCTTTTAATTGGACAAGTTATGTCGCTTAGCGATAATCCAACCTCTGTTTTAAAAATTCATTTCTATATGTCTGGACTAATATTTCCAAAATAACGATGAACATAGAAATGGTTTTATGGGACTAAATAACAAAAATTATAGTAATAAGGTAGACTTATTGTATACAGCAACTAATGGCGGAGGTTGAAAATCATTCTCATCAAACACCTGTTTCGTGCTAGTTTGCATCGATTCACGCGTAATAAAAATGGTCTGCCAAAAAATCTAGTTTAAATTATGAATGGTTAAGTTAATCTCCATTAAAAACAAAATGAATGTGCTTAATTAGTGCCATTAGTTAAGCTAAATGGTAGATAAAAACTAACTGCCTAGATAGATATTGATATACTATGTGATTTTTGTATCAGAGTTCCGGTTCGAAATGGTATTTCTTAAAGTCAATCGGAACAGAAATGAGTTGGGTTATGTTATGTGCCTGTATGAAGAAAGTCGAATAATAAAGGTCATTGGATCTCTACCCAGTAGCTGTATGGTGTTTTTCGTTTCACAACCTTGATTTCATCGGATATGGAACCGCTAGGAAGTATTCTTGTAGTGTTCCAAACCAGGACAAAACGACTTCCTAGTTATTTTTAGTTCGTGGCAATACATCATGTAAATGATCTTTAAGGGAAAAAATCTTCATAAACATGTTTTTTAAGTATAGAGTTATTATTTCAAAAACAGCTAGGTTTTCTGAAATAATTGTTTTGTGGAATATGTCCATTGGTTAACTTGAGTGACTAGGACCGAAACCGATTTTCATTATCATCCTACTCAAAGTGGAAGAGACAGAAAGATTTGGTTCATGTTTGAGTAGACTTCAATAGATCATTTACTTGTACTTATTTTGATAATTTTGAGACATTGTAGTCCTGTTTTCCTCTCAGTTATGATAATATACACTAGACTTTTCGTAAACGTCTTATAGTCGTGTAACCAATTTTGGGAAAAAAACATATGGGTATTATATTGCGCAATTAAAATAAACCTTCACTCTGGAGTACTAGGTGTAGTTTCAAACTCCGTTCTGCTTACTATAATTTGGGTTACCTGCTATTATCACTAGTTCTGGCGTGATATACATCAGATCTGTGCACATGGACTTGTGCATGGTTACTATATGAGACCAGTTTTTAAGATTTAAACGTTTGTGGACGTAATTACAACCCAATATCTACCTTGAAATAAGTTTACGACTCATTCAACATACCAGAAACAGGTAATTCTGTCATAGTATATCTGTACCTTTGAAAGAGAAAGGAACCCGTGTGATAAGTCTAAGTTTGTCATAGTCAATATCAGACCTGGCATGAATTTACATCATTTCATGTTTCGAATTAGTGCAGCAAGAGATTAACCAGATGGAAAGCATGGGAAGAATTAATAGTAAATCCAATAGGGAGCTAAGTATGAGTGAAAAATAAATTAGGTTTTTGACTGTAAAGTATGGAATAGCGCTAAATTCACGGTTTAGGAAATAGGAAAATAAACGTTACTGCAACTAGTTACGATGTTTACCGACCAATGGTTAACGAATGTATGGATTAGTGAGTTTTCCGCTTCTGTTTATTGATTGCCAGTTTTCTCAGTCGGTAGATTCTTGTTGACTTTACTTGTCATCACTATCAAGTCAGTGATAAGGATAAATTTTCCCCAAAATAGTAGTTCTATGTCATGCTTACTACCATGTGAATAGTTGAATCTTTACTTACTACCTTATGTACTGCAGTTTACATGTATTTGGTTTCGTTCTACAAACTTAATATCAATTATGTGTACCAAAAACTGGCCTGACAGCATTTTATGATGACCCTTTCCTACTGGAGGATTCAAGAATACAATGAAATAATGTCTCCAATATATAAACTAAGTAAATCAAGAGCGATTACCATAAGAGTGATTTTTGACGTAATTCATGTGTATATATATCTCAACGCGCAAATTAAAATTGTGTGATATTTCGCGAGAATGTTCTAGTATATGTCTCTTCATAATCGCCTACAACTAGTTTAATGTATGATGCTCCCTCCGAGTACTTATTCATGTGGTTTCGTGTTCGTGAAACGAACTGTTCGACTTTCAATTCATTCGACTTCTGTTCCTTGTTTTAGAACATTACTGAATCTCCATAAGACTGGATGTTCAGCGTTAACGAGTTGGTTAAAGCCTGTTTCACCCTTCTATCCCACTGTTTGTTTCTGGAGGATGTTCCCGAATAGAACTGTTGACTTCCCATAGTGCAATTTGGAAATTGAAACTCCTCAGCCTTCGCGTTTTAGTGGTCACTCGATCCAGGTACTTTGGAAATAAGTTAATAATACCTTGATTTCTTCTTCACTATCTACGTAGAATTGCGACTCAGTTTGATTGTTAAGTGCAGATACGGCTTTGCAACTGGTAATAAAGCTAATGCTACCACTCGATGGGTCTGCAAAACAAAATTTTCATTTCTTATACAGTGTTGTCGAAGGCTTGCTGGTTGCTATAGTCTTCAACCTATACACTGGCTCAAATAGGACAAGCGACTTTGTTGTACTATATTCGAAGGTATTTCTCGGCTGCTGATGATGACGCAGATTATTCGTAATCACTCCCGACTACTGATGGATTTAAAGTCAGGGACCATCCGTTCAATTTGTTAAAGATGCACATATACGGATTCCCATGTTTTTTTCTATAATTAGAAATATAGGCTGAGGGTTAAATCGTACTGAATTTCATACCATGAATTATGTAGACCTAATTAAACAAAGGCGGCAAGGTCTCGAGTGTTCCGTTGGCATACTGACGAGGACACTACACCAAACATCCTGGATTTCGAGTTGTGGTAAAGATCAGTATTTCTTCCCACCCAGTCCGCCGTAGTGTAAGAAGAACTTCTTCTCTCTCACGGTCGTCTTGTATTCAAATTGAAGATGTAGATCCAATGAACTTGGATGTTATAAGGGCTCCCGATGATTATATCGTACTCCAAACTGCCTGCTTCATTCGAGTTGCTTTTGGAGGCTGAGCTAACATTACATATGACAAACTTTCATATATCGTAGGTACGATTCGATGTGTTATTTCTACTAATGAAGCCTTCCGATCCTATATTTTATTAATTACTTTTATAGGATCTACCTAGAACATGATTATGTCCCACTATTTGTTTTGTAATAACTTCATAATTTGTATGACAAAGCACTATATACTTTGTTGTACGATATAACGCATCTAACATCTTTTTGTCATTAATCAGTTCTTTCCTGAAATTGTGGCTATTCACTAACAAAACTCAGTACCCTTTTTACCTTTATTTCATTATATCTCCATTCCGATGAGCTGTAAAAAAATATGATCCGGAACCTGATTCGTTACCTTTATATATAACTTTAACCAAATAAATTATTTTTAAACAAATAAATACAAATTTATTTCATATATAATCACGCTTTCATTACAACTAATTAATCTTGATTTGGTTTAATATCTTTGTATTTTCTATCTCTTGGATCTATACTCCGTATCCGATAACTCATTTCAGAACGAACCGCTAGTTATTTTTCCTTCCAATGGTTTTATTGATATTCACCGCTTTGATGGCCGCTCTTGATTTATTATATTCAGTCAGTTAGTGTATTAGTAACGTTACTTTATTACTATCGTTATTTGGAAACTTGCAAGAATCCCGTGACGGTTAAGGAACCCAATATGTTTCTGTAATATTCTGTCAAACGCTGTAGCGAATACCAGAATAAATATTTTATCATTGTTACTAATACTGTTACCATTATTATTATTATAAAACTGACCTTTCTGCCCTCGTCCTTATTGGAGTAAACCACTGTGTAGCAGATGCCAAAGATTTATGATTGAAACAGTTCTTTTTGAAACCAGTAATTATAAATGTAGTTTTAATTGACCATATAAAATCCTTGAGAGAAAATTTTCTGTTCCGTAAAGGCGTTACTTGAATCATGGTGAGTAGATAAACTCAATTTTTCAGTAGTAACTAACATGAAGATAGTTTTCTGACATTTCGGTGTAAAGTACTGACCGATGTAGTTCATATGTATCAGTCGTGAGACATTAGACAGTTCTGATAGCGCTGTATTGTGTATCGACCGAATTCGTGATCGTGAAACATTAGATCGAGACTGCTTTAAAAGCAGCCTGCCCTCGATGAAACCAGACCGTAATAAAACTAGTGACAAGTAAAGCTTAACTTATGTATATTCCCTTTTGTAGTAAGTTGAAATAGTATGAACCAAATATCCAACTATTTCACTTTTAGTGACCTAGGTATACAGTTTATTAGGAGACTTTTAAATGAAAACAAACGCATCTGATAAATCCATGTGATTACTCCTATCAAATCTGCAATACACATTCTGGATTAAATTAATGATATTCAAACTTACTGAACTTTGTGTTCGAAATAGATCTAGAGTGTTCATTGTTAACTCTGTTCCCCAAGCTCTTTCTACATGCTTCGAATTTTCCGTGCAAAAGCATACCGTGATGAACGATAAATTTAAGCTGATTATATCTATAACTCCATTTCATTTGTATAATGCTAGTCATTTTTATAAGAGTAGACTAATGGTCATTGCGCAACATCAATTTATTATTAATTACCAAATTATTATTTCAATAAAAGCATTGTACATAATTTTAGAAAATAAATTTTAAATATATTACCATGCAAATGAAAATTTGTTCTGTGAAAATGATGGTTAAAACAAGAAAAACTGCACATATTAAGCTTAAGATAAATTTACTTAATCAAGTATAACAATCTACCCATCAAACATCTATCTCTATTACGGAAATTCCTTCATAAATATTAGAGTTCGTTATTAGTAATGACAGAAAAGTTATCATCATTACTATGAAACGTTTTTTCATCGTATAACGCTGATGATAATACTTTTAAACTCTCCCAATTATCCTCTTTTAATCCTAATAACTCGATTAAACGAACCTCTTGTACATGTGGATGACTTTTTCGATAAGCTTGAAATAATTGATTTTGTAATCGAATAAGAATCAACTTTTCCAATGGTTCATCATGAATAAAATCACATCTTCTCCCATAATTACATGTTCCAAAAACATGATAACTATAACATATTTCAGTTTTATAACGTGGATGACGTGGAGCAAATCTAAGTTCATTAATTCCATGAGCAAATTGACATTTATTACCATAACTACAATCTCCATTAGAACTATTTAAATAACGTTTACATAATTCTGTTTTATAATGTCGACTTTTTGATGGTATTATACAATTTTCAGTATCATATTTTTGTAAATAATTTTGATCTAAATAATTCAATTTAATAGATGAATAATAATGATCATTTACAATGGAATAATAAATTTCAGAATTTTCTAAATGATTTTCAATATTTTGATCATTTATATTAATCATTTTATTTTTATCAATAGAATTATTGGATTGTTCTAATATTGATTGTTTTAAAATTGAATTTTTTAAATTATGATCATTTAAATAAAGATTTTTATAAGTTTCATTTTGTACAGCTTTTGTATGTTTTTCTAATTCTTTTTGTAAATCATCTAATTGTTTTGGATTTGGTGTATAATAATTCATGAATTGGTTGATATGATTTGTAGTTTTTGGAATATTTTCAATAGTTTGTTTTAATTGTTTAACAAGTGATGAACCTTTATTGATATTCGATTTATCATTAATATTCGATTTATCATTTATATTTTCATTATATATTGAAAAATCATTTATTGTATTATTTCTTTCCATATTTCAATAATATCAACTTACTAATTAATCTCTTCCGAATAAAAATGAATAGAAAAGGTTTCATATTGAATAATTCATCATTAATGATTACTAATCAGTCAAATCGATCAATTTATGATCATCAAAAGTAACAGTGATTATTACTCAATTCAATAGAAATTCAATTCATATAATTTAAATATATACACGTGTCAAACAGTCAATATAGTGAAATCATACATACATACATACATACATACACACACACACACACACGAAAAAACAGGTTATTGTTAGTGATTTATTTTTTTTTAAATCAATAAACTGAGGAGTAGATAACACAAGTAGCTAATAATAATAATGATTTTTTTAATGTCTTACTATTACTCATCATCTATTAAATAATAGAATATTAAAATCAATAATTTTGATGTGTCATGCTTTTTTTTAAAGTGTTGATAATAATTATTCATAGAGCTTGGATTACTGTTATTTATTTATTAAAAAATATCCTCAGCAGTGTGCATCCACGATCCCACACACCGAGGGACTCGAACCCAGGACCTACTGGTTTCGCGCATGAGCACCTAACCATTAGATCACTGAGCCGGCATCTGACTGTGTTAATGCCTAATTTCAACTCATCCACGAAGTTGCGCTACCGTATACCATTGTCTTCAGTGAGTTGATATCTCACAACGGACCTGGTTGAACTCCATTGGTAACAGCTTCCCACTAGAACTCCAGGAGTGCTCGCGCGCGAAACCAGTAGGTCCTGGGTTCGAATCCCGCGGTGTGTGGGATCGTGGATGCGCACTGTTGAGGAGTCCCATACTAGGACGAAACGGCCGTCCAGTGCTTCCAGGTATTCCATGGTGGTCTAGCTTCAACTGACTCATGATTTCAATCTGTGAAATTTCTAAAATCTCTACAAACCCCTTCTGATATTAAAGAATATATTATGTTGGTAAATAGAAGCAAATATGAAGAGGATGAATAATAAGCCGTGGGCGGCTTCTGTCTCCTCCACGAGGAATAACAGCCGTAAATAAGTAAATATTTATTTATTATCTTTCATAAATATAAAATATATGCAATCTCAACAACAATATATATTACTACCATATCTATGACTAGAATACAGATCATTCGTTATTATAAACAAACAAAACTCACTAAGGACTTATTTGAGTAAAGAATTGTCTTTTCGAATATATACTCAGTACTTATCATTCAATAATTTATATAACATTTCAATCATTAATGTTAATCACAATTTGATTAAGAATAAGCTACACTTGTATAAATTATGATGAGGTTATATTAATAGAAATTACATATAGAAATGATCTTAAACATTCAATGAACACATTTCATTTTGTAATCTATGAAAATAAACTATTGTTTATTTTACAAATATCGGTTATCCAGAATGTATATCATCTTTTATCAGAATATAATATGATCGGTAATTGTTGATATTCGGTAATAAAACTGTGACTATATACATGTATAGTGACTTACGAATCACTTCATCACTTGTTTCTATTCTACTGTGAATTTGTCAGCTGGAACAACTTGAACCCTAGTTTTGATAATCATAAAGAAAGTCGAGCCTGGAACTCATTGTTTCAGATCCTTGAATATTAACAAAGGGGTTAAATACTGCGATGAGTGATAAATATTTAAAATATTTTAAACGTTCTAAATAACTAGGACAGTTCTTGAAGATAATCAGTGATGTGAAAAAACAAAATCTTGAACTCATTTTCAACCGTAAATTGAATTATTCGGTTAGAAACCAATGAATCTCATCAGGTGGTGTCGTTCTTGACTGAGAACAAACTCCCCATCCATCAAGCCAACTTCAAATTATTCATTCACAACTGTAGATCTCTTCAAGAGGTATTATCGAAATGTATTAAAACAAAGTCAATGCGAAATCACTAAATTTACTCAAAAAAACTCCATATAGTGATAAAGACTAATCTATTAGCTTCGACCGATCAGAAACGAGAATCAGATTACAAGAAAAAGTTTCCTTGATGAAGAAGTAACAGAGGCTCTATTCAAACTGTCACTCAAATGAAATCACTGTACTTTACTTAATCATTGTAAAAAAAAAGCCGTGTTTGTGTGCACATTATTATTCAACATCTCTCACAAAAAAGTCAACCTTCCTAAAAACGTTTTTGAATATTGACAGTCCTTATAAATGATTTGCAGTAAAATATAAATCCACAAAATAAATAGCTTTATAAGTCTTCAACACTGATATTAATCTCAAAAGTCTTACTGGACACATCCCTGTCTGAAGGTGCTCAGTCAAGTATCCTTATCAAACCACGCTTAAGTACGTCGTGCTGTGAGTCTCTCGCGATAAATATTCAGCTTGAACTCTATATAATTCAACCATCTTTGCATCTCTTCATTCTCGATTAGTAGTTTTCCTGGGTTTGGGGATTACTTTATAAGATGAAATTTTGGACGATAGTGTTGTTAAGCACTGTATATAATTAAATCTTCATTGCTGCGCCCGATGTGATCTGGTATATAAAACGATTTACCGTGAGTTTCTTCATTGTCATAACCTTTTATATATTATGGTATTTTTTGTCCTCAAATTTTCTTTCTGCATATTCATATATTTTATTTTTATTATGTTTAAACACACCTAAACTTATAAGAGTTAAGACTCTCTTGCCCCCCAATATCGAATTAAGGTACGGTTCGACAACAGAGATGCTGTTATGAATACGAGATATCACTGGTCAGTGAACTTTCGATGAAGGTCTCTTCAGAAGACTTTTTCTATGTAACCTTCTTTAACAGGTCCAGGCGGTTCTGCTTTTCTTTCAAAATGAAGCCGTTGATGAACTGTCTTCATCTGCCGACCAAATTTTGGAGATCACCGAAATCCCCAGCGTCGAGGTTTGTTCTGTCAAGGAGAAATGCCTTTATCCGTTTCCTGAAACTTCAAAATGAATCCAGACGGTCTGATACTCTTCAAAAAATCCCATCGTGCAAAAGGTCTGTTTCTAAAATGTAAGAGACAGATAACCTTGATCGGTATTGTTACCATGACACCTATGGTAAGCTTTCCAGAAATCATAGACAACCTTCAGCTTCTCTAACCCCAAGTTTTCCGCCAAAACAAACATTTTGGGAAACTCCCTCTCTAACACTCATTAATGGTAACCATAGACAGTGAATATTAGCTGTCTGTTATACATCACTGATATGTTGATGAAGTTTCTCTATCTCGTTAGCATTGGCTCAAAGATTAACGTTTCGCCCACCGTGTCTTCAATCCACGTTTGACAAACAGAAAACCAATCGACATTTACGGCAGAATGTATGTTTACCTTAACGTGTATTTACGCAGACCGTTATTATGATCAATATTCCTATTGAGACATAGTATCTCTAAGGCTTCGAAACTCTGTATAAGATAGTAAAAGCACTTTTGAAACATGTTCCTATATATATACTTTACTACAGATGTTCCAGTGGCCTCTATACAATACACTTTTTTTATACTAGGACTGTGTGAACGATGAATTGAAGTGGTCAGTTATTTACGTGATGCTTTACAATGAAATGACGACCCACACTGTGACTCCCTAGTTGGAATCCTAGAAACCCTACAATTCAGTGGCTTAAAATGTTATTAAACATGGTTCAGAACAGAAGCTAATGGCATTGTTATTGTAGTTCTTTTATTAAATTCCTCATAAGTGTAAGATATATCTTCTGACAAACAGAGCGACCATTTATTTAGGTACATGGAATGTTCGTACAATGTGGGACACCGGGAGAGCCTTCCAAATTGCTGCAGAAATGAGAAGATACAACCTAGAGGTACTTGGGATCAGTGAAACACATTGGACACAAGTAGGACAACAACGATTAACTACAGGAGAGCTCCTGTTATACTCCGGCCATGAAGAAGAAAATGCACCACATACACAAGGAGTTGCACTGATGCTGTCCAAACAAGCGCAAAATGCACTTATAGGATGGGAATCTCATGGACCAAGGATCATCAAAGCCTCGTTTAAAACAAAGAAAGAGGGCATTTCAATGAACATCATCCAATGCAATGCGCCTACCAACGACTACAATGAAGACGCTAAAGATCAATTCTACAATAGGCTGCAGTCAATAGTCGAGAAGTGCCCAACAAAAGACCTGACCATTCTGATGGGAGATTTCAACGCCAAGGTTGGAACGGACAACACTGGATATGAAGACATCATGGGACGACACGGACTGGGAGAAAGAAACGAAAATGGTGAGAGATTTGCAAATCTATGTGCCTTCAATAAACTGGTCATAGGCGGCACCATATTCCCACATAAACGCATACACAAAACCACATGGACTTCACCGGATCACTCTACACAAAACCAAATCGACCATATTTGCATCAACAAAACGTTCAGGAGGACTATAGAGGAGGTGAGAACCAAGAGAGGAGCTGATATAGCATCAGATCATCACTTACTGGTCGCCAAGATAAAATTGAAACTCAAGAAGCACTGGACAACAGGGCAGACAGTATCACAAAAGTTCAATACGGCCTTTCTCCAGGATACTAACAAACTCAACAAATTCAAGATAGTCCTCAGCAACAAGTTTCAGGCGTTTCATGATCTACTCAATGGAGAAGGAACTACTGTGGAGAGCAACTGGAAGGGGATCAAAGAGGCAATCACTTCAACATGTCATGAGGTCCTGGGTCACAAGAAGCACCACCACAAGAAATGGGTCACTGTCGATACATTGGATAAGATTCAGGAAAGAAGGAACAAGAAGGCAGCGATCAATACCAGCCGAACAAGAGCAGAAAAAGCCAAGGCACAAGCTGAATACACGGAAATAAACAAACAAGTGAAGAGGAGCATCAGAACCGACAAACGTAAATATGTGGAAGATTTAGCAACGCCGGCGGAAAAGGCTGCAAGAGAAGGAAACATGAGACAATTGTATGACACGACAAAGAAACTCTCTGGAAATCGCCGCAAACCAGAACGACCAGTGAAAAGCAAGGAAGGCAAGGTAATCACCAACATTGAAGAGCAACAAAACAGGTGGGTAGAACACTTCAAAGAACTGTTGAATCGACCAGCTCCACTGAACCCACCCAACA